ATCAGTTAGAGATAATTAATATAATGGAAAGAAACGATTTTCGTTTAAAACTTTATTCGGAAACAATCTTTCGACTTTCGGGTATACTGATTTTTTAGACATGACATCATTTTACTCTTAGCCATAGGGAAAATAATTATCATACTTGCATTAGCAAAATACCGTAAGTCAAAGGCTGATAATTTTCCATTGAACTGACCAAGTTTCTCATCTTTGCTCTCTAGCCTTCTCGAAGACACAACAACATAGATATGCTCAAACTAATTGTCGTTTACTCAATAATCTATTATGTTTTGTCCAGTGGATTTACTCCGCACAATGTAGTTTCACCACCCGTTTCTGTGTTTTAACAGGTTTTAGACAATTTAGCTTTGGGGAACAAAGGAAGAGGCGATTGATTTTTGTAATTGTTGCGAAGTAATTATCAGAAACGAGCAGAACACTTCGGGGCGGGTAGAAGTATCAACGGACATCACCAACATTCGTAGGCAACGAAACTTTCTTTTATTTAATTCCCACGATCGATGATTCTTGTTAACTAAAAACAATGGTTATGTGGCGTAATTAAACAACTAATAACATGAATCAAAGGTAAAAATTAATGTCTAACAATATAAATATAAACGTGACACAATCCTGGCACGTGCCCAGTGGTTATGAAATTAAAGGACGTTCCTTCCATTGGGGCTTTGTCTGTCTCTTTCTTGCACAGGTTCGTGTTCACTTTACTTTCCTGTCAGAATCAAATCAAACTGTCCACGGGTTTTGGCCTCGCACAGTAATTTCAGTTAGCGACAACGTGTTAGTAAACCTGTCCCAGGGACACAGTTGTTGATTCAAGACATCCAAGGAATTCAAGAAGTTAACCGATAAAAAAAGTGGTTAAAAACCTGTTTCTTCTATTCAGTAAATGATCGCACAATTTACCAATTATTAAAGTAGTTTGTTATCTTTGAATGATTTATGAAGTCTCGCCTCAGGGAATCGCGACAGATATGTTTGACCACAAGGAAAAAAAAAGAGACAAAGCGTTCTTGTAATTTTCTTAACGTCAATTCCGAGGGAAACCTGTTCTATTCCTTTTAGAAGGAACATACAAACTCGAAGACTTCGCGTCGAAAAAACAGTATTAGAATTAAATAAATTAAGCACAGGAAAGGTTGTTTTCTATTTAAAAACACCTTTTCAATTGCACGAGTGTTTCTTTAATGGGGGTACTTTTCTAAATTAAAAACCTCGAATAGGTGTCGTTTTATGCGAGAAATGCAAGAGACCCTAAATTTGTTTGTAAATTATAGAAGCTAACGTATGTAAAAAGGTTACAAGACAAATAATTATCAAAATTAAAAAAGTCTTGGTAGTATGACAAAAGATCCCTGCTTTGTACTTGCTGTCTTAAACAGGTCTTGCTGTGCTAAATGAAACTTCTCCATGCGATTAGTCAGCTATAGCCAGGTTTAAGTAACACACCCAAAAAAAAACAAAAAAAAAATCGTGTGTCGTGAGGTGTTTATTTCTGTTTAGGTCCTAACTTAAGGGAGAGCTCTGGCTTATATGTGCAGAAAAGGTTAAGGCGAACTAGAGCACGCACGCTAAGGTTACGTTCTCTTCTCTGAAATAGAGATCTTTAAATTGGCTACTAGTACGAGTACGACTTTCCAATTTCCAACCAGTTGCATCTCATGAAGTCTTGCTCCGTCATAATGCTTTCCTGCAGCTAAGGAGCGGGCTGTAAAAGCAAGAAGACTGTGTAATAAGCGATTATCTAAAGCACGCGAATGTCACACTTGAACTCAATCGCGTACAGGTGTGTACTGGTACTGAAATATGAAGGTCGCTAACAATTTACAGTCCTCTGGCTGATTCCAGGCCCAAGCAGTAAGACCGACAAGAGCCAATTCAGAGAAGGAAGAACTATAGTAGACCATACTGTTACTACTACTAATATTAATGAACAACTTTATTTTGAAGGCGAAGTAGGTATTCATACTATTTATTGAGCCTGAGGTGAATAATTGTCAATGGTGAAGGTTGAAAGTGCCAGAATATTTTGGCTCCTCATGATAACAACGTCCACAAGTAATGGCTGCAAAGATGTCTCCGTGAAAATTGAGTACGGCAATCCTCTACTAATTGAGCGATAAAAAATATAAGATGTAGAGACATGATTGGTCATCGTAGTTATACACAACTTAAGCAGTTGTGAAATAAAAGCCTGAAAAAATTCAGGCCTGAACGGGCTTCTAACCCATGACCTGTGCGATACCGGTGCAGTGTTCTACCAACTGAGCTATCAAGCCAACTGAGAACTGGTCACGATGTGAGTTGGTAATATACCCGTAGATGACGAGGAATGCAAGTGAATATATGAAAGGTCACATATTTGAACTGCGGAGAAAGATATGAAGACACGATTGATCAACGCGATGATCAATCATGTCTTGATATCTTTTCTCCGCAGTTCAACTATATGATCTTTCATGTATTTACTCGCATTCTTCACCCTCTACGGTATAATACGAACTCACAGCGTGACCAGCTCCCAGTTGGCTTGTTGGTAGAGCACTGCACCGGTATCGCACAGGTCATGGGTTAGAAGCCCGATTAGGCCTGAATTTTTTTCAGGCTTTAATTTCACAACTGCTTAAGTTGTGTGTGACTGCGATGATCAATCATTTCTTCTCTGCAGTTCAAATTTATGATCTTTCATATATTCACTTGCAAAAACTATAAGAGCGAAACAATGCAAAAACTGATAATGTTACATACCATTATGTGGTTCTTCCTAACGCCAAAGTGGTTGGTAGAAATCGTCTGTTTGAGTATAGCTTTGGTCGAAAAGGGAGCACAATCCGTTACGAAGTCTGAAAGATTCCATGGCTAACAATTTCTGAAACGTCCTTGGAATGTTTTTCAAGTGTCTCACAAACACTCTCTCCTCCGCACAGGTTCGAAACGTTCGTTACAGAAAGCCGCTGTTTGACGTGAGTGCAGGCGCAAAGTGGAATGGAGCGATCGGTCGGCGAACCTCTGCCTGTGAATACCAACTGAACTGATTGGCTTATAGAAAATTTAAATTTATTTTAATATTTTTCATATATTTATAATGCAGAATTAGTTTTCAGAGTTACCCTTTAGGTACTTAAGTTCTTGTCATTTTAACCTGTACATATATTTTATATTTTTATGTCGTCTGTCTAACTATGGGGTCTTTGACTTTTTGACGGAACATCCTTATGGCATTTCTGTATTGTTAGTTGTCATTAAATTGTGAAATCAATCAATCAATCAATCAATCAATCACTCAATCAGTCAATCAATCAATCAATCGATAGAAAGTGTTTTACTTCGACGGTCCCTCTGAAACCCGTGGGGGTAGTCTCACAGCAAGTGGCTTTCGCTCTCCAAGGGACGTCTTTTGATGGTAGATATAACTTAATTAAATAAACATTTATTTAAAGAAAAAACTTTCATATAGGACTAAACTTACATTACATTACTCTGCATTACTCTACTTGTTATGTAATTACTGTAATTAATTACTATAATTAATTACTGTAATTAATTTTTATTGCATTAATATACTTATTTCTTACATCACATCAACTGCAAATAAGTTACTCTACATTTTGTCATCTCTACTTGTTATTTACTTTGTTTTCCAACTTTCACCTATTTACAATAGTAACTTACACCTATCTACACCTAGTTAGTACTACTTACCCTATACAAACACACTTAATTAACTATAAAAAACTATGCAATATGCCCTACACTTCTTTCATTACTCTCACAATTAAGCTAGGCTAAATAAGTATTTAAATTGATTTGTCAGTATTTCCGAAAGATTACATAAGAAAAACCCTTGTTAAAGTCAACTTAACGTAACTCCTTACAATAGATAATTAGTATCCGAACAACACATTCTTAAATGTCTTTTATTCTTCACTTTACATCACCATAATATACTACGGTGGTCCATATCTGCAAACACAATAAACAATTCTTGAAACGCAACACAATATTTTTGAAACACAAGTCAACATCTGTGAAACACAACACAAAATTATCGAAACACAACCGAAAAATTATCGAAACACAACACAGAATTATCGAAACACAACACAAATTAAAAATTAGTGAAACACAACGCAAAATTATCGAATTGAGGGAGAATTGATGTGCTACTATACAACGCATAAACTCATTCTTACTCAACCGCTGATACGTTATGCGCCTTACAATTCAAACTCACGCCATTTTTCGTGACCATTTGCTTTCGCGAAATGTTTTGTACTAACTGTGGAGCTGTTTTAAAACACTGATCTAAATTTTGTCATGCCAGTACCACGTCTCGTGTGCTCAACATAGTTAAGCCCTGTTCGGCGGGGTTAGTACTTGTATGGGTTGCCTAATACGAATACCCCGTGTTGTAATAACTTCTTTTTCTTTTTTCTTTTTTTATTCCTTCCCTTTTCAAGGCGATATTAAAGACTGCAGAACTCCCAGCCTTGTGTAATGTCGTTTCTTCGAATACTACATGTTTTTATCAACTATTTGTTCCTCATTTCGCCATGTCCGTATTTACGTGTATTTATTTACGATATCGTATAAATAAATAGCAGAACACGTCGTTCGAATTCTCCTCAATTCTCTTGACTGTTGATCGTTTAAAACATTTAATCACGGCTTGAATCATTCGAAAATACATACAGCTCATCAACTTTGTGACTTTCAATGTCTTCTTTTTCGGCAATCGAGTGGGAAATGAGCTATTTGAGGGGGACATCGGGGGGTTCTAAACACCGCAACACCGCAAAAAAAATTAACGAACACCGCATCACCGCAAGAAAAGTCAATGAAACAC